GCCGCCGGAGGCTCTACTGGGTACCTGCAGGAAACGACCTAGTGAAGCCACGTGGGCGGCGCAGCCAGATCTCCTCGTGCAGGATGCCCTGTAAGAAAGCTGTGCTGAAGTCAAGATAGTGAAGCTCGTAGTCACGTTGAGCGGCGACGTGCAGCAGCACCCGAAGAGTGGTCATCTTCGGGGTAGGGGAGAAGGTCTCGAAGAAGTCAACTCCTTGTCGCTGACTAAAGCCTCGTGCAACATAGCGAGCCTTGAAGACAGGCGGAGAACCCGGCGGCCGCTTCACCCAAAAAATCCACATGCCATCGACTATGTTCGCCCCAGGAGGGGGAACTGCGTCAACGTAAGTGCCTCTCGACTTCCAGGATGCCATCTCTGCGTCCAATGGCTGTCTGCCACTGAGAGGAGTAGGGACCCGTAATCGCCTCTGCGTACGAGCGCGGGGTCGGGATGTCTGGTGCATTCGGGTCTTTCTCAGGTGCAAGCAGCATGGCCACGAGATGAGGTACAGCAGCTGCAAGACACTCAAAGTCCTCCTGCCTGTCCTCAAGGACGTCCGTGCCAAGAGAACACTCACCCCCGACGGACGGAGGACAGTCAGACTCAGACTCAGCAACAAGACTAGTGGCGTAGTCGAGACGACAGGCGGCAGCAAAGTCAACAAGCTCAGCAACTAGGGCAGACGCAGCAACGGACTCAAACGAAGGGTCAGTGACAACAGTGGCTAGAAGACGTGTGAAAGTAGGACTAGCATCACGAACTAGGTCAGACTCAGGGTACGGACTGCCAGGAAGAGAGGACGCAGGAGGATATGGTAGGGGAACTCGCAGTGGAACAGAGGAAGGACGAAGTGCCATAATGTGAGTGTCGGGGACAGGAGGAGGACGCGGACGAGGAACATGACGACCAGTGCGAACAACGCAAACAGGCGAGGTAGGACAAGACGCAGGCTCACGACGCTCTGTAAGAGAGTCCGTCTACTCAGTGTAAGGAGAAGGAGCAGGCAGTGGGGAGTCTGGCTGTAACTGTGGCTGCGGCTGGTCAAGCAGTAGACACAGTAAGGGAGGAGTAGGGCTAGTAGAAGACGGGAGACTAAGAACCTGGCGAAGTACCGAGCCAGGTGGCGGTAGAGACAACGGCGGCGGCGGAACGAAAAACGGTCGCCGCTGCTTAGTGCCTCCAGAACCAGTACCACCAGCTCCAGCACCCCCAGTGCCAGCACCTCCAGCTCCAGTGTCTCCAGCTCCAGCGCCTCCACCTCCAGTGCCTCCAGCTCCAGCTCCTCCAACTCTAGCGCCTCCAGCTCCAGCGCCTCCAGCTCCAGCTCCTCCAACTCTAGCGCCTCCAGCTCCAGCGCCTCCAGCTCCAGGGTCTCTAGCTCCAGTGCCTCCAGCTCCAGGGTCTCCAGCTCGAGCACCTCCAACTCCAAGGTCTCTAGCTCCAGCACCTCCAACACCACCAACTCCGGCAGCTCCAGTACCTTTAGTACAAGCACCTCCAGGACCAGCAGCTCCAGCACCTCCGGCCAAAGGCACGAGAGCCCCAGACCCAAAACACCGATGCATCGCCAACCTCTCCTGTCGAACGCAGTGTAGGCGAGGTCTCCGGCAAGGAGACACGGGGCCACAGGTTGAGCTGATGCGCAGCGTAGCGGACCGCAAACGGCCAAAGAAAATGGGGAGCAGCCGCATGGATCATGGAGGTACGAGCCACCTCCATGACTAAGCCAATGCGGCGCTCAACAACCCAATTCTGCTGCGGAGAGGCCGGAAGCGTGAACGACTGGAGGATGCCCTCCCCACAAAAAAAGTCCCGCAAAGTGCAGACGCAGGACAGGAAGGTCCTGGCGGAACCGCTCGCGGAGCTGGACACGGACAGCGCAGATCCAATGGATCAAGACATCAGGGACCTCCCCCTTGCTGCGCAAGGGGAAGACCGTGGTGTAACGCGAGTAGTCGTCAACAACTAGCAGAAAGTAGCGCTCGCGGCCCTGTCCACTGACGCGGGCTGGGCCCCACACGTCCATGTGGAGAGTCTGCAGTGGAGTAGTCGTCGGGGGAAACGAGGAGTGAGGAGCGGCGCGCTGCCGCCCCTCGACGCAAGGAAGGCAAGGCGGAGCAGGCGAGGGCGGGAGGGGAGGCAGAGACCTGGGAAGACCAGAGACAAGGAGGCGGGAGTGCATGCCACGGAGGCGTGGCAGAGAGGGGTGACCAAGTCGGTGGTGCCAAAGGAGAGTCTGGTGCGAGAGGAGGCGACACGAACAGGGGGCTGCTACCTGACCTGACGCGGACACCTGACCAACCGCAGCTACCTGAGGAGACGCAGTAGTCAGTGTGTACAGACTCGACCCAGGCCGACGAGTGAACGTGGCCAGGTGACGGCCCGTCCGTGTACACGTGCAGATTGACACAAGCTGACCCCCAGGAGTGGTGGTAGTGAAGGGCTGCGGTACTCACCAAGTTCGTAGAGAACGAGGGGAGGTGAAGACCCGACTGCGAGGCAGACGGAACCGCCGGACATGGGAGAACAGTGGAGGAACGTGCAAAAACCGGTCCCCCTGAGGGGTCAGCTAGAGAGACTGCAACCGGTGTAGTGAGCAGTGTGACTGTGGTACTGTCACGAAAGAAACAGCGGGAAGCACCTGAGTCAAGAGTGAAGGTGTGCTAGGCCGCAGCAGGCGGAGTACCAGAGAGAGCAGACTCACTAGCACCTATAGCAGCAACCTCTATGCCTGGGTTAGGCGGCACACGTAGGTAACAGTCACCCTCAGCACTAACAGTTGAAGCATACATGCCAGCAAGGATAGCGTCATACTCAAGAGCAAATACATCCACATCCTTCCCAAGTAGCTCTAGCCAGCGGGGGAGCTCTACCTCGTCACCAAACTTTGCGCGCCAGGCATCGTCAAGGCGGGAGAAGCAATGGGACTGTGTGTGACCAACCTTCTCCCAAGTCTGACCAGCGCGATCACCTGTGCGAATGACGTACGTGCAGCGAACACTCCCCCCAGACGCCCCACGCTGAGCAAACCACTCACGAAGCTGCTGAGGCGTAAGGGTGTCGCGCGGACGCTGCTGCTGCTACCTTTGGCCACCGCTAGAACCTCCCCTCTGACCGGTTCCACCCCGACCGCCACCATCGCCGCCGCCACCACTCCCACTGCCGCCACTACCGCCGCCACCACTCCCACCGCTACCACCGACGCCCCCACTCCCACCACCACCGCCGCCACCTCCATCGCCTCCACCGCCGCCACCCCCACCACCCTTGCCTCCCTTGCCCTTGCCACTGCGGCGCCTCCCACTAGGAGCAGACGCAGCCCCGACCTCCTCAGCACTAAGGAAGTCAACAACAGCAGCAGAAGCGACAGAGGGGACAAGGGGGGAGGGGGAACACCCCTCAAAGAAGGGAGTGCGAGGAGTGCCACGAGAAGCGCCTACAGCGATTATGCTGGTCTCAGCTGCAAGGAGGTGCTTCTCGAGCAGGTCGACAGTGAGGTATGTTGGGTCAAGGGCGAGAAGGAGGTCCCTGACTGCGCGAAGAGAGTCAGGGAGGCGGGTGACGATGAAGTAGAGAGTGATATGCATGGGTGGGGGGTTCTTGTCTAAAAACTTGGCTGGAAGAGCGGCGCAGTAGCGAGTGTCGTTAGTGGAAAGGTGGGTGATGAGGTCATCGACTGTGGCAAAGGCTGACAGCTCGGGAAAAAGGTAGGGCAGTATAAGTCGGCCGAGAGCAGCAGTGGCAAGGGAGGAGTAACAAGTGACTACAGCGTCGAACAGTGCTTTGGCAGTCTTGTGCTGGCCAAAATGCGCGCGTTCGGCTAACGGCATGTAGTTGCGAACGGCTAGGCAAGCAGTAGCGTCACGGGTAAGCCACTGTGAGCGAGTGACGCTGCCAGCTGTCTGGGGAGGAGCGAGAGAGGTCCCAGACGTGTGGTAAAACAACGAAACGCCGTCCCTAGACTCGCTCTGTAGGTACAGATGTAAGTCGTCTAGCCAGGTCTCAAACTGGATCGGACGGCCCTCAGGATCGAAGGTGAGAACACTGAGAGAAGCCATAGCGGGCAGAGCAAGGTGGCTCGCGACCAGCAGGGCAGCACGCAGGCAAGGACGGCGCGACGGGCAGGGCGGCGCGCGAGCACTAGGGAGGCGCGCAGGGCAGGGCGGGGCGGCGCACGGCTAGGGAAGAGCGGCGCGCGGCCAGGGCAGGGCGGCGCAACTGGCAGGGCAGGGCGGCGGCCAGCAGGGCGGCGCGCGGGCAGGGCAGGGCGGCGTGCGGGCAGGGCAGGGCGGCGCGCGGGCAGGGCAGGACGGTGCGGCGGCCAGCAGGGCGGCGCGCGCCCAGCAGGGCGGCGCGACGGGCAGGGCAGGGCGGCGCGACGGGCAGGGCAGGGCAGTGCGCGGGCAGCAGGGCGGCGCGACGAGCAGGGCAGGGCAGCGCGCGGCCAGCAGGGCGGCGCGACGGGCAGGGTAGGGCAACGCGACTAGTAGGGCAGCGCTACAGGCAGGGAACTATGCGGTGGGCCCTTAAAAAACGGTCTTGGAACAGGACCTTCTCTAAAACCATGTTAAGAAACTGAACGAGAATGATTGAATTGAGATAGAACTGAATACAAGTACTAAAGAGCAGTTTCTCATGGCTGAGGAAGCGGAAGGAGAGGCGGCGAGCCTTGGGGAACTCGAGCGCCAGCAGCACCGGTCCTGTGAATGCTCCCCGCCCCACCCCCTCCTCCACCTTGTGTGGCTCGCAGAACGTGAATTCGTGCAGCTGAGGTGCAATGGCGGCCAGGGCTTTAAGAGAGATTCCCCTGGGGTCCACGTGCTCTAGGGTTAAGCTCCGAAGGGACAGCATCCAGGGAGCGGTGAGGCAGCTTTTTCCTAAGCATCAGGCGCCGCGTCCGAGTGTGAGGGAGTGCAGGGAGGTGCAGGACCTAAGAAATGCTAGATTCCAGTGGCTCTGACTGTAATCCTCCTTTGGGAAGGATTGTCTGATGCTAAGAGTTAGTTGCAGGGATGAGATGGAGGAGGGGGCGGGAGAGGAGGGGAGAGTGAAGGGGCGGCGGATGAGGGGGATGAGCGAGGGGTGGGAGAAGGAGAGGCGGAGGGAGGGGAGGACGGGAGAGTGGGAAAGAAGCCAGCGCACGCTGGTGGTCCACTGGGGCTGGGCGGCTGTGAGGTGCAGACTGATGGGCGCGCCGTGCTCCTGGTGGCGGGCGGAGGTGGAGAAGAAAGGGAGCGAGGGAGGGAGGGAGGGAGGGAGGGAAGGAGGGAGGGAGGGAGGGAGGGAGGGAGGGAGGGAGGGAGGGAGGGAGGGAGGGAGGGAGGGAGGGAGGGAGGGAGGGAGGGAGGGAGGGAGGGAGGGAGGGAGGGAGGAAAACGGGGAGTGAGGGGAAAGATGGAAGGGTGTGAGAGCGCGAGCAGGTGGGAGTGGAGGTCATCAGCTGTGAGTCTACCAGTTGGTGTAGTGAGGGAGAGAGGGAGAGAGATAGGGAGAGAGGGAGAGAGATAGGAAGAGAGGGAGAGAGATAGGGAGAGAGGGAGAGAGATAGGAAGAGAGGAAGAGAGATAGGAAGAGAGGGAGAGAGATAGGAAGAGAGGGAGAGAGATAGGGAGAGAGGGAGAGAGATAGGGAGAGAGGGAGAGAGATAGGAAGAGAGGGAGAGAGATAGGGAGAGAGGGAGAGAGATAGGGAGAGAGGGAGAGAGATAGGGAGAGAGGGAGAGAGATATGGAGAGAGGGAGAGAGATGGGGAGAGAAGGAGAGAGATAGGAAGAGAGGGAGAGAGATAGGAAGAGAGGGAGAGAGATAGGAAGAGAGGGAGAGAGATAGGGAGAGAGGGAGAGAGATAGGGAGAGAGGGAGAGAGATAGGGAGAGAGGGAGAGAGAGAGGGAGAGAGGGAGAGAGATAGGGAGAGAGGGAGAGAGATAGGGAGAGAGGGAGAGAGAGAGGGAGAGAGATAGGGAGAGAGGGAGAGAGGAAGCGACTGCGAAGCTACAACGAATGGCAGTTACGGATGAGAGTCTCACGTTCTTACGGACACGCAAAGATTTTACAGCTGAGGATGCAAGAGGTGAAGTTAAAGCGAAGACGGTCTGAAAAGCACTCACGGGGATAGCTGCAGCAGTGAGGAGGAGAGGGTGTGGAGGGGCTACAGTGAGGAGGAGAGGGAGTGGAGGGGCGCCACTGGCGACGAGAGGGTGTGGAGAGCGAGGATCGGACTCACGGAGAATTAAGCGACGTGGACGAGTAGCCTCTTGCTGGCAAGCGCGCAGCACAGCAGAGGCCACGAGGAGCCTAACGTGCGAGCGTTGTGTGCATGCAGTCAGCACGGCGACACCCCGGTGCCCTCGTCGTTGCCCTTGCCGTTACTACTCTTGCCTTCGCTGCTGCTCGCACAGTTCACGTTCCTCCGTGGGTCGTTGGTGCCAGCACCAGCACCAGCACCACTCCCATCGCTGCTAGTGGCATTCGCGTTGGTGGCATTCGCCTCTGCACGCTGCGCAGCGCTTAGCGCGCGGCAGTAGTAGCGGCCGCCCGCGGAGTGCGGAGGGGTGGCGCTGCTGCATTGGCGTTCCAGCAGCAGGTGGAAGATGCGGTGCCAGAGCGCCGCTGGTAGCGCGTCGATCACATCGCTGCACTGGTCTGAAGACGAGCGGGAGAGAGGGAGAGAAGGAGAGGGAGAGGGTGGGAGAAGGAGAGGGAGAGGGATAGGGAGAGAGGGAGAGGGAGAGCGGAAGGAAACAGAATACGTGGCGCGTGGAGTCTGAGACCGAGTGGAATCTGCTTCCCATTTTAGAAATGAAGGTGGGTGGGAGAGAGCTTATATATCGACTAGAGAATCCGCTCCTGAGATGAGAATGAAGGTGGATAGGAGAGGATATAACACAAGTGGAGGGGATGGACGAAAACAGCCAGTTGGACTGATTGCGCATGTGCGGAACGGTGGAGAATCCCCTAAGAAGACGTGATTTTTGGCTGCTTTGTTTATCGAGCCTAATGCGAAGCGACGGAGGCAAAAATGAAGGGACTACGTCACGATAAGATGTGCTATGAATATGCGTCCTTGCCTTCGGAGCCAGCGTCGTCCTGACGGCTATCTTCCCTCCGCCTCTTCCCCTCCCGTCGCTCGCTCGTCCCTCTTAGTTCGCCAGCCGGATCGCCAGCAGCTGCCAGCGACGATGCCATGGCGGTCGCGTGACGTCGAATTTCTCGTTTCACTGCCTTTAAAATCGCTCTCGCCTTTCATCGATTCTTCGTTCTCACCATCACGGCAACATTTCCGCATTAGTGTCGAGGTTTCCGTAATTTGCTCAGCAATGTCTGCCCATGTATGGACATGGGATGGGCTGGTCAACAAGCAGGGAAATTGAAGTACGTATGGCAACCTGTGACCTGCCTTCGGGGCTTGCGCGAGACAGAATTGCTGTGGATGAGCAATGTGTGATTTCTTTGTGTAAAAAAACTCTTTTACGTGCCCAACAGGGAACGGGTCAGCCGGAATGAGTTGAGTTCTTTTGGGCGACGCCTCACATTTCAATGACTCTGGTGGTCCTTCGGTAGCGACAAGGTCTAGAGACACGAAATGTTGACGCATGGGTAAACCATGAATATTGTGAGTACGGAAAACTAGCAGCTGAAAAACAAATATAGAGCTCAAACGGTTCTGCCTGGCGGGAGATGCTTCCTGTCAGACTGGACGCGACGGGATGCAAAGGGGCTGCTTGTGATATCTTCATTATCCGTTCGGAGTGGCTGGTTAGAAACAGAAATGTACAATGCTATGATGAGCCCTAAACAAAGCAGAAAAACAACTGGGACATGTAACGTTGTTCTCATAGTTGTTCTCATGGTGCTCCTAGCTAGCAGAACTCATTCTGTGAGCATGCTATAGCTCCAGTGGTGAATTCAAACCTATTCTGGACTTGAGAATGACTGGTTGGGCGTATGAGATGTAATACCCGGATCCTACGGTTGCATGTTTTCAAAATGCATCACTCGCTCACACGGCTCTCCTGCTTGTGATATCTTCATTATCCGTTCGGAGTGGCTGGTTAGAAACAGAAATGTACAATGCTATGATGAGCCCTAAACAAAGCAGAAAAACAACTGGGACATGTAACGTTGTTCTCATAGTTGTTCTCATGGTGCTCCTAGCTAGCAGAATTCATTCTGTGAGCATGCTATAGCTCCAGTGGTGAATTCAAACCTATTCTGGACTTGAGAATGACTGGTTGGGCGTATGAGATGTAATACCCGGATCCTACGGTTGCATGTTTTCAAAATGCATCACTCGCTCACACGGCTCTCCTGCTTAGTGTAAGGTGATCAATATGGTATCAGCAACAGGATGCAAGCTTACAGCACTAGATATGCGATTGCATCCTCGCAACACGGATAGGCATTAGTGAGTCAGTATTGCAAGACAAAACTTACAGTACACTATTGAAAGGTTTGGCTAAAAACGACCGCACCAAAACCATCACTACCTTACACTCTCTAATGCTTCAATCATGATAACACTATTTCCACGAATCACCTGCAGAAAGAAAGCAGATATACGGATTGTGAGCCCACGGGGGTAAGGCCGCCCGAGCAAGGAACACCAACCAGAACAGATCTTTCTGGCTCTAGGGGAAGCTACAGAAGAACAAGACAGAAAACACAGCACAGAGCCATGAGATGAGACCAAGCAGAGAGAGGAGAGGGAAACTGCGGATACGAGCAGAGTCAATGGAGCGCAAAGAAGGCACAGCAGCAGTTGATGGGGGAGAGAGAGGAAGGAGGGGAGGTGCAACGAGATGGAAAGTCTTTGGCACAAATGAAGGAGCTTGAGGTGGGAGTTGGTGAAGATACAAGGGATGAAGGGGGAGAAGCGATAGGCAGGAGAGGGGAGGAGGGAAGGGAAAGAAGAGGAGAGAAAAGGAGGTTTCGGCAAAAAAAAGGAGCATGGGATAAGAGTTGGTGAGGAAACGTGGGATGAGGGGGGTTGAGAGATAGGAGGAGACGGGAGGAAAGAGGGAAAAGAGGGTCAGAGGCGTGAGAGGGAGATAGATGGAGGCATGGGGAGGGGGAGAACGGAGGAGGGAGAGGGAGGGAGGGAGGGAGGGAGGGAGGTAGGCAGGGTGAAGGCAAGGAAAGGAGGGAGGGATGAGTGAATTGAGAAAAGAAAGGAACTAGAAATGAGGATAAACAAGACAAGACACGGCAAGACAAAGAAATACAAGACAAGACAGGACTAAACAAGGATGAGGAGGGAGGCCTGGGGGGGCAAGCCAAGGGCAGTGACCACCATGCCGATGACGGTCCTGTCGGGAGCGCAGCGCGAAAGGCAGGCAGCGAGGGAGAGCGGAAGAGAGACACGGGGATAGGCACAAGGAAAGGGCACTGACCACCATGCCAATGTCGGTCCGGCCATCACCGCTCATCTCCACGGGGTTGTCGAGCACAAGGTTCATGAACTGGTCGAAGGCAAGGTGACTTTTGAGTCAACTCAAAAGGCAGGGAGGACAAAGAGGCAAGGGCTCTGACCACCATGCCGATGTCAGTCCGCTCATCTCCACGGTGTTGTCGAGTACGAGGTGTGTTTTGGGTCAACTCAGAGCAGCAGGCACACGACAAGACAAGACAAGCGGACACGAGGAGAGTAGGGCACTGACCACCATGCCGATGTCGGTCCTGTCATCACCGCTCATCTCCACGGTGTTGTCGAGCACGAGGTTCATGAACTGGTCGAAGCCCCGCAGCACACCCACCACCGTGCGATTCGCGTTCAGCTTTACTGCGCAGAGGAAAGAGGGGAGTGTGGGAGCACCGGAAGGGAGAGGGAGGAGAGGAGGGAAAGTGAGGAGAGTGGAGGGGTTGGAGGAAAGCAGGAGAACGGGTGGTGGTTTCGAGGGAGAGTGTGCAGTACCCCTGAACAGCAATCATGGGATGCTGCAATTGCAGATGGAAAGAAGGTAAGAAGTGGGAGGAAGCGCCAGGAGAAGCATAGGAACGGTGTTGCATGATTGTAAGAGGAGAGCAAGGAGATTATGCAGCGGATGGAGTGATAAGCGCTCTGTGTGGCCACTGAGTGAGCTGCATGAAAGAGTGACCGCATGAGAATGACCGCATGACTGGGGGGATGAGTGCGTGGGAGTGCGGGTAAAATCCCAGTGTGTGAGTGCGGGAGCAGCTTCATGAGTAATTGATTGAGCTGGGGATCTCACTGTGCAAACACGTGGAGAGCCAACAGAAGTGCGATTGCATTGAAGCAGAAACGGAGTGCTCCTCTGCTCTAGCGAATGGAAATAATCTGTAAAACGAGAGTGAAGTGAGAGTGGAGCAACACTCACTGTTTAGCTTCTTGTCCATGTACCTACGTCGAGCCGGGGAGTTGTGGGGAGGGAAAAGCAGGGAGGGTGGGGGAGGGGAGGCGAGAGAAGGGAAAGGGAGGTTGGGGGACGACAGGGAGGGAAGGAGGAGGCGTGGGAGAGGGAAGGTAGTGACATGTTGAAAGAACGGGGAGAGGTGGGGAAAACGCGAATGTGAACAAGTCCTTAAAAGTCCGCGATTGCCAATTGTGCTAACTACGACTACATGAGGATGGTAGGCAACGCAAGTTTCGGGTGGAAATTGTGGGGAATTAGGGTTACAAAGACAAAAAAACGGGAATACTTTTTATTCGTACTTCAGGATTCTGGCATTCGCTGCACCCTAAAAAAGGCGGTCAGATGACCGATTTTTTTTTACGAAAAGCCAGTGGTAACAAAAGACGAGTGCGATCAGGGTGCTATGTGTGGGGGATTTAGAAATGGAAGCGACTCGGCGTCAAGAGAAAAGGTAAATGAAAGAAACCGCAAGAGCAGCTTACTTTTTCAAATCGGGAGCCTGGCCTGATCTACTCATGCTGATATGTGGGTTGTAGAGACCACGCTGTTAGATGGGAAACCCTAATGACAGCTAAAGACAGCGGCTGGAAGAACGGCTCAAAGTCTTTCCTGTGGTATTCTGTGAAAATTAGATCAGCCCGTCCATGTGCAATCTGGCACCTAAGTGTGAACGCGAAAGGAGAGAGGTGGTAGTGGCGCGAGAAAGAGGTAATGGAGCGTAAGGATCAGCAGCAGACCTCGCGAAAGGAAACGAGCAGATAAATGATGTTTCAGTGGTAAGCCTGGCTATACTCGTTAGAACCTCCAGGTTTGCCGATTAGAACCCCAAGTGTCAGGCTAGTGTTTTCCACTATAGGCGTTCTGTAAGGAATTTCCCCTAATTCCTTACTGAGTCGCACTGTACGCATACAGACTCCAGCTTTCAGAGTTCAGGCTCGGTCCAATGACCTCGCCCTCCGAACCACCATCGCGTCACCTTCGGGTTTTCCAAACCCAAACCTGCACTGAACCAGGGGCTATTTTTTGTTTCAGTGCACCCTTACATATCAGGGTGCCTGGGTGACAACACCCTAACTGCGAGGATGGTTTTTCCTCCACCCTGTCCACACAAGGGTAAAAACTTCCGCACACTGATTGTGTAAGGGTGTTTTCCAGAAATTTGACAAAATACCCTGTTTCAATTGTAGCGTGGACTATTATGGCCATACTGTGTCTTCTGTTCAATAAGAAACATTCATTACTTGGGGCCATGCCCTCAACTACAGCTACTACAGCTACACATACAGATAAGCTAACTACATAAAAAGCACCACTCTGCAACTAAACATTGAGGCCATGCCCCCTGCTAATGTCTACAAACTGCCTCGCTCCAGGGGTCACGCCCGAGAAGTCCCTAATAGGGCGCCTGTTCTTCTCTCCGCGGAAAACAGCGACAACATCAAACCAGTCCACCTGGTAGTCCAAGAGGGAGCATCGCATGAGGGATCCAAGGTTGTCATCACCAATGGTGTCCCGTCCCCACGTCTTGATGACATTCTGCTTCGAAAAACCCCTCTCGCACTCAACAGTGCTGAGAGGCAGAACAGCCACTGCCTGCCACAGCTGTTGGAAACAAGTGATTTATTACGCTTCTGTCTGTTAGAATTTGAAATGAGTTTGAAGGATCGTACTACTCAGGATGGGAACTTCCTTTGTGAAAGTCGTAGCGGAAGTCTTATATGAGTTAAGCCAGTTGTGAAGGCTTTGTCTAGACTTAATAAAGTCTATGTAGTGATATGTTTCAGGATCGATTGTGAAGATGAGCAGTAGAAGAAGGCGCCATAGCTAGGAAAGCCCTAGCTAGGCAAGAAACAGTTTAGGCAAAGAAGGAGGAGTTGCACTAGCAAGAATGAGGATACAAATAGCAAACCCTAGAAGGGTTGTACTCGCTATAGAGCACCCCACTACAGGCTAGAGCATAATATTCTGACACACCCCCATAGCCAAAGTGGGGTGTAATCAGCAGAGCAAGCAAAGCAGAACAAGCTCAGGGTGGATCACAATGTCACCACACATTCTGAGCACAAGTTCAGGAAGCAATAGTTTAAAGTTCACAATTATGAGCAAAGCTAGTGGTAGTCACAACGGGCAAGTGAGGAGGAGGAGGGACAGTGAGAGGAGAGGAGATAGGAGGCGACGGCTGAAGCTGCAGACACACGGGCAACAGGAGGCACACTGGCACAGCGGCTACCGGAACAGCGCTCCGGACTACTGGAGTAACTGGCCCCGCGGCTAAAAGTAGCGGCAGACGAGCAACGGACCCACGGGCGACTGGCACAGGTGGCTACGACTGGGCTACCGGAGCAACTCCCCGGACTACAGGTGCTGCTGGCGACACGACGGCAACCTCCATTCAACCTCCCCCAAACAGTACCACCCCCCCTGACACACACCCCCTGCTTCACCCCTAGCTCCACTCCCCCTTCACCCCCCCTTAGTACCACTCCGACGGCTCCAACAGGTCCACCCCCCTTCAGCGGCAGCTGCAGCACAGGGAGACGGAGGAGGAGGAGGAGCAGGGAACGGCACACAGAAGCTGCACCCCCATACCCCCCACCCCCAAACCCTAATCCAGGAGAACGGGCAGAAGGAGGGGTGGGGCGCCTTCAGAAGCACGGGGGACAGCGGGGAGGACAGGGGCAGCAAAGAACGGGCCGCCCACGGGCCTGACACAGCCTCCCGAACCGTGCGCAGGCGGCCCGAGCCGCGCGCGGGCCTGGCGCAGTCCGTACGGGCCGCGTGCGGGCCTGGCGCAGCCCGTACGGGCCGCGCGCGGGCCTGGCGCAGCCCGTACGGGCCGCGCGCCGGCTGTACGGGCCGCGCGCAGGCCACGACGGGCGACGGGGGGCGACGCGCGGGTCCCCGTCGCCCGTCGTAGCGCCTCCTGGGGGCGACGCGCCGAGTGACGGGGCAGAAACCCGTCGCGCGCCTCGGGGCGCACGGCGGGCAGAAAACCGCCGCGCGCCTCGGGGCGCACGGCGGGCAGAAAACCGCCGCGCGCCTCGGGGCGCACGGCGGGCTGAAAAACCCTAATTTCGACGCCGCGCACCACGGGGCGCGCGGCGGACAGGGAGTAGCAGTAGCAGCGGAAGCAGTGAGGTGGGGTCCACAGGCCAGGAGCATATCGCTCTAATACCATGTGAAGATGAGCAGTAGAAGAAGGCGCCATAGCTAGGAAAGCCCTAGCTAGGCAAGAAACGGTTTAGGCAAAGAAGGAGGAGTTGCACTAGCAAGAATGAGGATACAAATAGCAAACCCTAGAAGGGTTGTACTCGCTATAGAGCACCCCACTACAGGCTAGAGCATAATATTCTGACATCGATGTCTCTGAAATCAGATATATTATAAAATGACAAACATACAAAATATATAGCTAGAGTAAAGTACCTGTTCGCCTACTGTACTGTGCTATTCTTATCTTGAAACGGTACGTAAATATTCGCGAAGTCTATAGCTACGTGCTGACGTCATCCTAGGTCGCGTAGCGCTTTGCTGACGTCAGCCTATCAGTACTTTACTGTACTACACGAATTTCCTTGAAGTGCTTTACGTCTCGATATTATCTCAACACTCCCCTTCACTTCTAGGAGTTCGGTGTAGTTATCCGGTTGTCTCGGAAATTCCGCTGAGCTGGTTGCAGTGGTGGAATTTCTGTCGCGTCAGCTTCTTGGTAAGTGAGTCAGCTGCCATGTCATCAGTGGGACAGTAGACAAGGCGCATTCTCCCCTTGTCGATCGCATCCTTGACGAAGAAGTAACGTAGTGAAATATGTTTCGTGCGATTGACGAAGCCGGGTTTGTTGGCGATGGTAATCGCACTCTGGTTGTCACACTGCAACGTGAACTGATTCGGCGTGACGAACTTCGCTTCGTCGAGCAGTTCCTGTAAGTATAGTCCTTCTCGAGTTGCAGCATACGCGGCAATGAATTCTGCTTCAGCCGAGGAAAGTGACACCAGTTCCTGTTTCGATGAGTTCCATGAGATTGGACCAATGGGCTCAAGACGGAAAATGTAGCCTGTTCGTGACCGGCGATCTGACGTGTCACCAGCGTGGTCTGCGTCAACATATCCGCTGAGGTACATTTTGTCGGTCGGTTTTCCTGTGTTAAAAATCAGCCCGACTGTTGGTGTTGCAACAAAATAGTGTAGAGCGCGCTGAAGATCGAGATGATGTTCTTCTTTTGGGCAGCGTAAAAACTGTGCGAGATAACTTGCGACGTACGCAAGGTCGGGACGACACGTGACTGCTGCGAAGAGAAGGCACCCAAGTTGCTGTTGGTATAGTTGTAAACCAACTGCCGAAAGTTTGGTGTCGTTGAAAATGTACCCAGTGGGTGTAGACCGAAACGGTGTAGCGACATAACTTGTAGGAATCTTGAAGCGCTTAGCGAGTGACTCAGCGTACTTCGATGCTGTGAGGTGGATTGCGGAAGAAGTTCGCGAAATATTTAACTCAAGAAATTGGGTTACTTTGGTAGAAACAGTTAAGTCAAGGGACTTCTTCAAATCTGCTTCGATGCGATCACCCAGAGAAGCCGAGGAACTTACGTAGAGAATATCATCCACGTAAGCCACAAGTAGCGCGTAGCTCCCCTTGTCGTCTAGTCGATACATTCCGGGGTCATGCGGCAGTTGTCTGAATCCAACCTCTGTAAGTTTTCTGTTCAAATCCTAAACCCTTTCTGTTCAAATGCCACAGTCGCGGTGCTTGTTTGATGCCATACAGTGATTTCTTGAGCTTGCAGACACTTGGCGGATTTGTCGGATATGTATGCGGATATTCGACGTAGATTTCGGCATCGACGTCAGCGTATAGAAACGCGTTGGAGACATCAATTT